GTGAAGGTCATAATTGCGCGGGAACATTAACGATGCAGTGATGATGATGATGATGATGTTGTTGTTGATGGTGATGTGATGATGACGACGACGATGACGACATAGGACCGACAATTATGACGAGTGTATTTATTGCAGGCTGATGGTGGTGGTGATGTTCATGATGGAACTCGCCACTACGCAATGTATTAGCGCTCTCGTAAAAAGTGTGTTTAATTTTTCCTAATTAATAGCTAATTATGATAGCAAGCTCAATGGTGGACGATGATCAGGATGAACATAAACATATTATACTATGTGGGACAATGTTGAATATGAAATCGTATTTGTCTGCACTCGACTTCAAATAATTCTATGTACATTTTGTATGTATGTACGTATGTATGTATGTATGTACGATGCATGTGTATTTGAATGTATATAAATAATAACAGCATTAAAATAAATTGTTGATATCCATTGAGATTTTGGAAGCCTTTAGAGCAGATGGAGCAGTCGTCGATCGTGGAGACGTAACCATTACAATAATCTGTCCGTTGACGACTTTGATTGCCTGTCCCCGCCCGTCGTAAAAATATAATTCAATTATTTTCTTCTTTTTATTGTGCCAAATGTTCCACTAATTCGGTCGTACAGACTTATATTGTCAACCTACGGATTACTTACGTACACAAATACACACAGATACACACTCATACATATACACTCACACACACAAAATACGGCTTCCAAAAAAATATTCGTCTCAGAGGTTTTGTGGTATTTTCTGGACAATATGGATAAATTAGAAGAAAAAAAATTTCAAAATAATGTTTCAAATCTTTATAGTCATGAAGAATTGCTTGTTGCTAAAAAAACATTGAATTCTGAATTGGATAATATAAAAAAAGAAAGAAAAGTAAAAGCTTCAACCAGAAGAAGAAATACCAAGTTTGATATAATGCTTGATATTGTTGATTTGATAAAATATATGTCGACAAATGATCTTTGTCAACATTTGCCAACATTTGGGATTTTAAACATAAAAAAAATACCTGATTTTATGTCGAATAATATGTTGGAGGCAATAAATGAGAAAAATGACAAAATGGCCGCCGTGCTGTATGAAATACTGGATAGAAATAAATCGCTGGTAAACAAATTAACAGGTGTACAAATACTTGTACAAATCTCGTTTCAAGTATGGCGCATGATACAAACTCTCGCACAAATCTTGCTACGTGTAATGTCTACGATACAAATGTTAATCGCATTAAAAATGAAACAATCGATACTTCATGGTCAAATATTTTAGTGTCAAAAACAAATAAAACTGATTGTGAGTTACAATCTGACGATAATGTTTCTGACGATCGTATGACACTCGTTCAGCGCAGTAAGAGAAAAGTCAAATAAATATCTTATCTCCAATTGCTAAAAAAGTTGAAGAAAATATCAATAAAAATAAATCTCACAGACCCTGAAAGATTTTGGGATCACTCACAACTAGCCCCCTCTTCACGGCATCTTAATCCATTATTAAAAAAAAGTTTTCTACATTGGGAATGTCAAACTACCTGACAGTTCCAAAATAGAAAAACACTGTGAAAATAGAGGAATCAATTTGATTTCCTGTTATCCGGCCTCTAAACGTGTAGAAAATGATGATGAAATAAAATACTCCTCATTCAGATTGTGTGTCCCGGCCGAGGAGTATGGCAAGGTGATGACTGCTTCAAACTGGCCTGCCTCAGTTGTCATTCGTGAATGGATCTTCAATAAAGATAACACCAACTCCTCGAACACTCTGCCCAGTGCCAAGACAAATGCATCTGCTATGAAAGATGTTAACAACACCGAAAAAAACAGCGGCGTCAGCAGATCAGATATCTGACTAACTGATTTTCCTGAAAATAAACAGAATAATGATGAGATATTTGAAGAAATCTAAGCTCCGAATATTTCACCGTCGATCAGCTTAGATCCTTGTTGCAATGTAAACAATTTTCTTCTCCTTCGAAAATTCTCGAAAGTGTTCTGTAAACTTAATTAGTTGTTATTATTCCATTCTGGTGGTATTACTTTGATTTTTGTTACTATTATATAATGTTATAGACAATTGCAGAAAGGATACATACATACATACATGCATGCATTGTATACATACATATTTTGTATGTATGTATGTATGTATGTATGTATGTATGTATGTATGTATGTATGTATGTATGTATGTATGTATGTATGTATGTATGTATGTATGTATGTATGTATGTATGTATGTATGTATGTATGTATGTATGTATGTATGTATGTATGTATGTATGTATGTATGTATGTATGTATGTATGTATGTATGTATGTATGTATGTATGTATGTATGTATGTATGTATGTATGTATGTATGTATGTATGTATGTATGTATGTATGTATGTATGTATGTATGTATGTATGTATGTATGTATGTATGTATGTATGTATGTATGTATGTAAAAAAAAATGGNCAGCAAGCGACTGCAG